CTTTTCCATTGACATACAGATGTGACGTCATCCTTTGACTTTGGCGTACCATTATTTTCTTTTAATGTACGGCAATTTTCCAATCGTACATTATCTATACTAGATGAAATATTGGACTCGCGTGACGTATTTCATCGAAAAGCACGTGCTGGATAGTGTCTGTAATTTAAGTTGTTTAATGGTCTCGAGCTAAAGACATTGCGTAACATATTGAAACAACACTCGGCTAAAGCCCCGTGAAGTATCAATATATTACTTAATGTCTCGACCATTAAACCATACATAATCACCGGCGCTGTTGCTCTTCCTTTTCCTTGGGGTAACGCTCTTAGAAAAAGCCTGAGACAATCGTCATGAAACTTGGCAAGATTTTAAAATAAAGAATGGTTTTAATGGACAGGTTGACCCCCTAGAACATTTGTGTTGATAATGTGTTACACATGTGGTACACAAGGTACAATTTTATGGATACACAATTACTGAGTTTAATACTAAGTGACGTTTCGACGAGGATACTCATCATTTGTTTGATAAAGACGAGAGTATCCTCGTCGAAACGTGGCTTAGTATTAAAATAGCTAAGTCTCTAACTCAATATCATCCAAAATCTTCAACATTGAAAACACAAATTATTTGTCAATTTAAATCAACATTGATGCCGGATCTTACCGGAAAAAGATGGGATTCTGATATTCAATATTTAAGACAAAATAAGCATTTTACCATTGGTACACGAATCGTGTACCATAATGCGTTTCAGCCCCAGTTCTAACAAGAGACTCGAGGAACGAGGCTAGACATATTGCACCAAACCAGTGAATGTATATCAGTTTATATACATTCATATTACAGTAATATATGAGTTGCGACCCATTTGTGTCAATTTCTAGGTCCCAAATGTTAGCGATTTAGCTCCTTTAAACCCAGTAAGTGTGTATCCATAAAATTGTACCTTGTGTTAATATGTTCAATTACTAAATGACAATCAAAGAAAATTTGTGTAGACATTAAAATCACAGTTCTAGCATGCCTAAGTGAAGCGACATGACAGTTTATAGTGTTTTGTGGCTATTTGGCGACCATCTTGGATTTCACGATGAAATCCTGTTTTTTTTTCCGTCTAGGGGTGTGTTTAATGGATTGCTTGATCATCTTCATTTTCATCCTTCCTCCCACTGATTCAAAGTGGGCAAAAAGACGTTACATGTATACAAACTAGGGAAATTAACATAAAATTTACGGTACTTTGCCATTTTTCTTTGATTTTACTACCAAGTCGTGGTGTAATTTGATCGATTCTTATATGATTTATATGGCAGTATGCGTGTCTGATTCTAATTTACATGATAAGTAGCAAGACAAAATTATAATTAGTTTTATATTTATTTGAATGTATGTACGTTAGGCTTAAGATAAATCTGATTAAAACACAGATTCTATTTCGTTTCCTTTCTCATAGTTCAAAATTTCGTTTCACTTGTCTTTACTGCACTAGGACTTGGGAGAGTCGTTATATAACCCGGGTTCTGATCGATGGGAGGCATTACCCAATAAAACGGTCTGTTACGGCGAGTTCTTGGTGGGCTGTGCACGGAACTGTGGGTAAACCACTAGAAACGTCGACGCTGATTGATTAATCAATGCCTAACGTCATAGGTCAAACGCCACTCGTATGAACCCTGACGCAACCTCCCACTACAACCGGTTAGATCTCCGTGTAGTAGAGGCAATCGATATTATAAAAAACGAAACGAAATATAGATCTGTATTTTAATCAGATTCACTTCGCATTAACAACACAATGTGAAATGAAATGGGGTTTAGCTTTCTACTTTTCTGCACCGACCGGTCTAATGGAGATGCACATACACCATGCAGTGTGCTATGAGATACATTTTGCTCGGACAGCGGCGCAAGAACATGCGCTTATTTGGCATCCCAATTGCTTCCCCGCTGACAAGATACACCTCACAGTTACATCCCAAGGAACTGTCACGGCCAACACCGGGAGCGAACCCGAGTTAACCTGCTTTCAGAGGACCAGCACCTTACTCATTGAGCAAGCGTTGGAATAAATATGAAAAGATAAATAATAGGATGAAGCTGCTTGTGTTTATATATATCTAGTGTATATCATTCCGTAACCCTCTGTTGCACAGCTACCCGATAGGGGTCAGATTTCTTGGAGTCATATCCTTATAAAAACTGGACATCGATGTCAACATGATTATCCGATTGGCTGATCAATCTCTGCAGACAATTAACATTCTTTTGATCGATGGAGAACTATTTAATTAACAGTCTATATAATCAATATTACAATTAAAATTACAAACACAATAGTAATCAAACAGCAAAGGTGGTATTTCCATGGCAACAAGAGATTGTCCATCAATGTCTATAGTCAGATAACAGTTATATAGCGACTATGCAGAATCAATGTTTAAAACACCTACCCCATTAAAACGACATATTAAATGAAAGATTGTGTTATGGGGACGCCACAGGCGGGACAAGAATTAGAAAACGACAATTGGAAACACGGCTAACAAATAATTTGAGACATAAAACACATTCTACTTATTTAATATATGAAATGTCGCCATTTTTAAACCCATTTTTAAACCTATGAGTAACGCTTTACATCATACTAAACATACGCTGCCTGTCTACAGTTAGCCCCGCTTGAGAACAGACACTAAGCTAGTTGACCGACATTTCAAGTCCTAAATCGACATTTATAGTCGAAAACACTAAGTATATTTTGAGAATTTTTAGAAATATATATTTTGCATTCATTTAATAAAATTGGAAAGAGATTCATGGAATTAATATTGTTTTAAATAAGTGTGGTAATAAAAAAATCCACAGATTGTAAGACACTTTCAAATTTAGTTTCTGGAAAGCTAGAGCTAGAATCCCGATTCGAGTATGACAAATTTACATTGTCGAATATAAACTATGCCGTAAATATGCATGATATTAACTGCACCAAATACCTCGATATCTCGATTGGGTATCACTAATTATACCATTGAATTCGGTATCTCGAAGTATTGGAATGTATAACATTAGCTCTATTATAAAACTCAGACTCTCGAATGCATATCACTAATTATACCATTTAAATCGGTAAACAACTCAGTATCTCGAATATGTAACATTCGTTATACCACGAAACTCAGTATCTCGAATATGTAACATTAGTTATACCACAAAACTCAGTATCTCGAATATATATATAACATTAGATATATCACAAAAACTAACATTTAACACGGGTTGGCTTCTGGAAGGGAAACAAATCTAAACCATTTCAATCACTCCATTATATAAATCACAGTATTATATAAATGTATAATTTTCACATGGTCTCTAATATTTATTTTCTTCTCGGGCATTCCGTCATGCATCACTGCAGGGGAACCATGCCGGAAAATCACGACGAAAGATATTTCTCGGTTAACACCGGATTCGAACACGGGACCTCCGTGTTAGCCAGCCAACGTCTTACTCACTGAGCCACCATGGCTGATGTCTAACTGTATCTTTATAAAGGCACATGCGGGTTATATAAAGGAGTTGTTGTGTTTCTGATGTAATATATCTTTATGCACCAATAATCCACCGATCCTTATTTCTTAATTTTGGTTAATCATATTAATGTCATTTTTGTTGCCTTTTCCGTTTAAAGTAGCCAAGCCTGTAACTGACTAACTCAATATCATCCAAAGTCTTCGACATTGAAAACACGAATTATTCGTCAATTTAATTCAACATTGATGTTGTGATCTTACCTCGAAAAGATGGGCTTCTGATATCCAATATTTAAGACAAAATAAACAATTTACCATTGGTACATGAATCGTGTACCATAATGCGTTTCAGCGCCATTTGTAACAAAGGACTCAAAGAACGAGGCTAGACATTTTCCACAAGTCATGCCAAACGGTGACTCCAAATTCTTATCCAGCGAGCAGGCGCAATAATTACTAACCAGACGCTAGAGATTGCCTATTAGATTGGCGTATTTCGCCGAACATAACTGATTTGATATTAGAGTAAAAACGGAAACGATTGAATGTAAATCAGTTTATATACATTCATATTACATGATTATATGCGTTGGGACCCATTTCGGTCAATTTCTAGGTCCCAAATATTAGCGATTTAGCTCCTTTAAAGTATAAAATTGAGTTAAAAGATGGGTCAATTTATGGAAAGCTGAAAGCTGAAACATCTTTAATTAAGGTCAAGAGAATTAGGTTAGTCTGATTTCAACGTCCACTCGAAACAAACCAGGTCATTTCGGGACTAACATACGGTTCAATTTTATTTCAATAATTCGATTGCGCGTAGGGGTCTTTAGCAGTGGGAGAAAACCCACGAGGCTGAACAGGCGACCCTACTCCTTGTCACGTACAACCGCCAGTTGACTCAATGACAGACCTTACGATACAGTGCGCACGCGCTAACACCCCCCCCCACACACACATTCCTAAAGAAGCTGAAACATCTTTAATTTAGGTCCTAAGTTAAGAATTAGGTAATTCTGACGAAACAAGATCTATACAAATAATCTTAATAATGTTGGTCCTTTTGCGCGTCTTACTTTCTTTATTTATTACGTTTTACTGTTAAGTGTTGAACATAGAATCCGTTACAGCTCAATGCTGTCTTTTTTATCGATAAACAGATATTTTTAACAGACATTTCGATCTCCCAAAGTCTCCGAAATTCAGTTGGATCGAAACTTTTATTTTCCACCCAATTTGAACATGTCCAATCAATTTAAAAATTACTTTGGGCGATAAATGAAACTCAATTCTCTTGTTTATTGTTTTTCAACTACACCAATAGTCTCAGAAAAGGTATAACGGGAAGTTGTCACACAAACGTCGGAAATGGAGACATGTTTGTCCAGGCACAGTGTGATTGCTTATAGTAAAGAAGCTCGTTTCAGATAGTTTCTTGGGTTTCAAAAAAAAAAAAAAAAAAAATCTGTCCCAAGAGTATAACTCATATAATTGTGTTAGTTTTATGTCGCTGTTAACACACATATCAAGACCTGTCTTCGTCCTTACATAATTTGATTACGTCCCTTCCGCCCTGAATGCATGTCGGTAAATCTACAGCAATGATTAATAGTAACGGGAGTATCAGAAAAACTATTCCCATGTAACCAATAGCAACAGAACTGGACCGTTTATCTTGTGCGCTTACTTTTTTCTGAACGACAGCAGATATGTTTTTCTTGTCAACTGTTAACTTGTTCACGATACTTTTTACTGCCGCTTGCTCTGCGACGGGGTCAGGGGTCACAACGATGACGTCACGACACACTTCTGACCTCATAATCCCGTCCGATCCAATAACTCCTCGAATCCCTGTAGAACTAGAAGCAACTGTCTCATTTACATGAAGGGAACTGAACGAAGACTGTATGGTTGTATCCGCAGTTTGGGCCGTCTCTGAAGGACACGCCGAAGAAGAGTACAGAACTGTCGACGAACACGACCCTGTGACGTCAACTGTTACGGTATCACATGACTGGGTCTGTGTTTCTGTTACCGTGGAAACGACCAATGCGGAGCCACCAATTGTCACAGTACTAATCTGTAATACGGTTGTTATAATGTTTCCCACTGTTTGGGCAACTGTGGCAACAGGAGGAACCGTTGCTGCAATTGTTATCGTTTCTGTAGTCGTTTCGGTATAGGTACTAACCGATGTTGTTGTCGAAGTCTCTGTTGTTGTCGAAAAGTCTGTGGATGTATCCGTTGTTGTTTCAGTGGACGTTTCTGTATATGTATCTGTTGTTGTTTCAGTGGACGTTTCAGTAGAAGTCTCTGTAGCTGTTGACGTCTCTGTAGTTGTACTCGTGACAGGTGTACAAGTTGACGAAGATGACACTGAAATATTGAATTGTGTGAAATATACATAATATTTTATAAACAAAACTGTACCGACAGTTCGCATGTTTCTAAGTCAATACATTCTAAATGAAAAATCAGTTGTTTTTGTTCTTATTGTTTAACGTCCGCTTCATTTTTATTATATCAACGCACGCGCAGGGGTGTGTTTCGTGGAAGGAAATCGGAGTACGTGGAGTTAACCCAGAAGGCGCCCCTATCACCAAGTCACATACGCTCACACCAACTTTTCGAAACCACCACCGTAAATCAAGGGAGACCGGCCAGTTAGAGCTCGAAGCCCGACACTCTAGACCACTTGCCCGCCAGATACCATACCCGAGTTTTGGTTTATGTACATCACTTACCTGATGGTACTGTAGCACATTCTGTCGGATCGGAATTATCGTTGCCTACATTATGTGAATTACTGTCAATTGTTTTTTCTACAATATACAAACACATATCAATATAACTACATCATGTATCTCACAATATATATCAATGTTACACACAAGAACCCTAGAACTGCATCACGTGTCCCATAAAACTCAATCATAGAACTGCATCATGCGTCCCATAGAACATTATCATGCGTCCCATAGAATTGCACCATGTATTGCATAGAACTGCATCAAATAACACAAAGAACTGCATCTTGTGTCTCATATAACTGCATCACGTGTCGCATAGAACTGCATCACGTGTTCCACAGAACTGCATCATGTGTGCCATAGAACTGCATCATGTGTTCCACAAAACTGCATCATGTGTGCCATAGAAGTGCAGCATGTGTTCCATAGAGCTACATCACATGTCTCATAGAACTGTATCATGTATCTATGTATCACACAGAACTGCATTATGTGTTCCACAGAACTGCATCATGCGTGCCATAGAACTGCATCATGTGTTCCACAGAACTGCACCATGTGTCCCATAGAACTACATCATGTGTGTCATAGAACAGTATCAAGTGCCCCATAGAATTACATAGAACTGCATCGTATGTCCTATAAAACCGCATCATGTGTGAGAGAGAGAGAGAGAGAGAGAGATAGAGGCAGAGAGAGAGAAAGAGAGAGAGAGAGAGGTTAACGCCAAACTCGACACAAACTAGGTCATTTCGGGACTAACACATGGTCCATAATTCGTTTCATTTTTCTATTCTTTCGATGGCCTACTACATGAAGATTTAACCAGTTGTTATGTGAGGTCGTGTCAGGGGTCATAATGCAGCTTTAGACCCTATGATGTCAGACATATGAATAACCAATCAGCGCTGGTGTTTCAAGTGGGTTACCCATAGTTCCGTGCACCTCACGCCTAAAACTCGCCGTAACAGACCGTTTCATTGGATAATCCCTCACATCATCCATAACGCGGGTTATATAACAACTCTTCCAGATCCTAGTGTAGTAAAGACAAGTTAAACGAAATTTTAAACTATAAAAAAAAGAAACGAAATTAGATCAGTTACTAAATAGAGAATCTCCCACGAGTCGTTTTTGATATTGAGGCTTTGAAGAGTGTTTTTGTTTTTTTATTGACGAGAGTTGATATTTTTTGATATAAAACAAAGACGAGTAGCAGATATATTTATCACCCAACCCTTTCTTACATGCACAAATGGAGGTTGGGTGTTCGATCCCTGCATTGGCCGAGAAAGTTCATCAGATTTTCCGGCGTGGTTCCCCCTTGTCAGTTACGCCTGACAAAGACATCTGTCTAGTCGTTCGGGTGGGACGACAACCCGAGGTTTCTTGTACACATTGGCGTGCACGTAAAAGATCCCTTGAAAGTTTGAATTCGATATAAGAGTATGCCGTAATTTCCCTCATAGACTAATGTATTGCGTGCTTACAAGGATATATTGAATTGGAATTTCATGGATTTCTGCTGCTTACTATATATAACAAACCCATCGCCATTTTGTTTTGAGCGAACGGGATCGAATGGCTTATGTCAAATCCGACTGAATCCAACATCGAAGATTATCTAGCGTTGCCATTTTGGTTTTGTTTTTATAATAATAATACTAATAATAATAATAATAATAATAATATCGTCATTTATAAAGCGCGTTATTACTGAAGAAAACAGTTTCTAAGGCGCTGCTGGTTTTTATATTCACTGATTATTTACAGATCAGGGTTTTGAAATAAGAATGTTTTGAGTTGAGATTTAAAATGACCCACTGACGGTAATTGTTTCATTGATTCTGGTAGTCTATTCCATAGAAAAGGACCAACACAAGAAAAGGCACGTTTTCCAAGTTGAAAGTTAATGGCTGGAGATTTTAATAATCAACCTGCGTACATATTAGCTTGGGATATAAGTCGTAAGAAATTTGATATTTTAGCGAAAAATTCAAAGGACGCATGGGTACTTTGAATATTTGAAAAAAACAAAACTGAAATACAAACCAAATGGACAATTTTTAATGGCGATTGTTGTGTTACTGACATCCGTAGCTACCAGCATTAAACATACTTTTTCTACACTACCCGTCAGAAAACAGCCAGGAGCATCATCACACGCTGTTTTACACTCATCTAACGATGGTTTTGAGTCATCGCCTTTGGTGGTAAACGTAAATGATGTAATCGTCGAATCTTCATAGCCACACGTGCCATCTGAAATTAAGACAACACAATAAGTCTAAAACATTATACTTGTATAGTGTGAGTGTGTGTGTGTGTGTGGGTGTGTGTGTGTGTGTGTGAGGGGGGGGGGGGGGTAGCCCGTGCGCGATGTATCGCAAGGTCTGTCATTGAGTCAACTTGCGTGGTTTCGATTTTCCGGTTGTACGTGACAAGGAGTACGGTCGCCTGTCCAACCTCGTGGGTTTTTCTCCGGGTCCTCCGGTTTCCTCCGACTGATAAAGATCCCTACGCTCAAGCGAATTATAGTTTGTGTCGAGTGGACGTTACCCTCTCTCTCTCTCTCTCTCTCTCTCTCTCTCTCTCTCCCGCTCTCATATACTTGTATAATTTGGAGACTAAAGCATATAGTAGTAGTATTTTTATGGTTGCGTGTGTAGGGTAATTTGGTTCTAATAGCGATCTTTCCACTTACTTTTAGGGTCGATTTCAAAATCTTCAGGATAATTGCAAATCGAGTTACAATCTTTAATTTGATCCAGAGAGAACATTTTAGGCCCATGTCGTAATGCCTTTGTAATATCAGGGTATCAGTTTATATACTGAGCGCCATGGAAAACGCATCACTTAGTTTTTCGTATAACAAAATGATCCTGTAAACATATCTTATTTATTTTGCTTCTTATTGTGAACAATATTCAGATGGGAACACATCAATAACAACACATTTGTACACTTATAGATGTTTAATCTGTAATCAACGGTACAAAGTCAGAGGGGTTAAAACTAAAAGTACGACACAGATGTCAGTAGCGCGTGTGTCCTCCACGGGCTCTTATGCACGCTGTGCAGCGACGTCGCTTGGAATTTACCAATGTTTGAAAGAAGGCCTGGGGCAAATTGTTCCATTTTTGGACAGGAGCAGCTTCTAAAGCAGCAATGGTGTGCATCTGTGGTCTCCGATACAGACGGCGTCCAATCTCATCCCAGACATGTTCTATCGGTGCCATATCCGGAGACATGGCTGGCCATTCCAAGACATTGATGTTGTTAGCAGCCAGGTAGTCCATACTACTCTTCTCCATGTCTGGTGTTCTTGAGCCCATATCAAACGCCGCTGACGGTGATGATCCCTGAGGATAGCTCCAACATAAGGTCGTCGGGCACGGAGTCCTACTTCTCTTAGACGACGTCTTACGGTGTTGGCACTTACTGGTCCTTGTCTTCCGACCACTGTCGCACCTGTTCGAGTCGCTGGGCGGAATCTGTCACGCAGATGAGTGACCCGGATGTAGCGGTCTTGAGCCTGGGTTGTAAAGCGGTGTGGACCAGGACGTTGACGGTCAAGTGTTGATCCAGTAACTCGAACACGTTCCACCAACCTTATAATAGTGGACTGATGACAATTGAAGTGTCTGGCAATAGCACGTGTAGACATGCCAGCCCTGGACATTCCCATGGCTTCATTCCGTTGATTTTCAGTAAGTCTCGGCATCTCTAGCTCGATTCCTTCACACGTCCAACAACAAATTACGACAGATGGACGTAACACAGTTCATGTACTGCACATTAAGTTGAAAACATGCTTTTAAAGTGCTCACACACAATGCTGCTCGTGAATATTGGGTTTTTCATGTGCATCTCGTGCAATTTTTTTTGTGCACACGGGCCGATACTTTTGGCGTTTGGGAGCATTGTGTGAAACAATATTTCATAGTATTGCATAATATTATACCTACAAAACCACCCAGTAATAAAATATTTGGTAAAAAAAGTGATGCGTTTTCCATGGCGCTCAGTATTTTATTCCTCGTCTCATTTAGTAATAAATGAAATGAGAAATGAAATGGGGTTTAACGTCCTACTTTTCTGCTCCTAACCTGTGCTAATGAAGACGGGCATACGCCATACAGTGTGCTATGAGGGAAATTTTGCCCGGGCAGCGGCGCTACGGCCTATTCTTATATCGAATTCCAACTGCCAAGGGATCTTTTACGTGAACGCCAATGTGTACACGGGACCTCGGTTTTTCGTCCCATCCGAACAAATGTTGCAGGTCCGAGAACTTAAAAAACACCCCAAACAATTCAACCCTTTATTCCTGTCAAATAGAATGTAAATTGTTAAGGGGGCTACGCATTTTGTACAGCATTTGGGGGAACTTTCTATGTTTTATGGGGGGGGGGCTGAATGGTTAGCACGTGCGCGCTGTATCATAAAGTCAGTCATTGAGTCAACTGGCGGGGTTTCGATTCCCCGGTTGTACGTGACAAGGAGGAGGGTCGCCTGTACAACCTCGTGGGTTTTCTCCGGGTCCTCCGGTTTCCTCCCACTGCTAAAGACCCCTACGCGTATGCAAATTATGGAAATAAAATTGAACCATATGTTAGTCCCGAAATGACCTAGTTTGAGTGGAGTGGACGTTAAACCCCATTTTTTTCTAAAGGAGGGCAACCGAGCTTTAACCAGAGATAATAGTTGTATTGCGCTTCGAGAACAAACAGTTCATTATAAATATACACTACTAAAGGAAATGAAATTAAATGCGGTTTATCGTTCTACTGTTCTACCCCCGACTGGGCTAATGAAGACTTGCATAACCATTCAGCGTGCTGTGAGGGAACCTTTGCCCGGAGAGTTGCGCTACTTGTTACCCTTATATCGAATTCCAACTGCCAAGGGATCTTTTACGAGCACGTCAATATGTACACAGGACCTCGGTTTTTCATTCCATACGAACGACTAGACAAATGTTCTTTTCAGACCCCCGTCCTGCACCACTGACACGGAGGAAACCACACCAGAATATGTATGTGGCCACGTCGAAAAATCCCGAGAAATTTTCTCGACCAACACAAGGAGCGAACCCGCGATCTCCAGGCTATTGAGCCAACGTCTTACTTACATAGCCACCGTGGCCCCTCAATACTTAAGGGACGTTGAATTATCGTGGACCGTATGGTAAGAGTGTTACAGTGCTATACTATAGAACACAATTAAGAGGTGATATGAAATGAAATGAAACGTTCTACTTTTCTGAAAAGTCTAGGCTAATAATAAGAATAATAATCATAATTATTAAAATAAAAATAAAATTAAAATATAAAAAAAAGATAAAAAATTTTAAACTCACCTTTGTAATGCTCGCAAATAAACGTGTTGTCTTCGCTACAATCGCGGCTCTCAAACCCATTGTCTTTCTCTCTATAGCACTTGTCACCAGAATCATAATCGAAATCAGCACTATTCCTCCAGTGATTCGATGATGACATATGCGTCTCGGGAGGAGGACATCCCGGACCGTCCCAATGTCTGGAAGACGACGATGTCCAATATAATCCGGTCCACGGAGTATCAATGCTGTAAGGATTAAAACACATATTATAGATTCAGCAGATTTCAAATTGCAACTATCAAGTGTCCCGTCAAAAGGCAAAACCTCTAGAGGGTCCACAACCTTTGTATTACATACTGTTTGGATCACGTAACGTGATAGGTTCTGACCGCCCTCGTTTTGGGAGTTCGCACATGAGTGGTATGAGTTCCAATGTAAGATGTCTACAAGAATAATGTATTGAACTAAACAACTGTGTTACTTAACGGAACCCACAAACTAAACACATGAAATCCTTATACGGCATTTAGTAAGTTGAGAACGACTTGAGAACGACAAGAGGAACTTGTTGAAACGTAGTGTGAAATAAACCCGGTGATTGCTTTCCATATAAATTTGTGTTTTATATCAAACTAAACACATACTTTTACACAGTTTGTCCAGTATAGGAGCAGTTTGCGTTCAAAGAGCAGTTTGCGTTCAAAGAGCGTCCCTTTTGTCGGGCAGTTCGTTTCGATTTTTCCCTTCATTATGGTGGAATAGTGATATATACTATTCAAAAAAAGTAGGGGATATTTGATTTTTAAGTGTTATTAAAGTCACCTAATGAAACTGACGAAGAAACAAATGACAAAATGAAATGAAGTTCACATTCATCGATTTATTCCAAATGATCGTTAGACTAAGTAAGGCACAGACTGACCATTATAAGGGTAAAATGATACCCGGGGTCAAACAGCAAAGTTACCACAGCATCACAACCAAGTCAGTAACGGGTAAATCCTCCTCTGTTTGCCAAACAAGCATTGATCCGACGTGGCATACTCCTAATGAGACGTCTAAGGTCATTTTGGTCCAGATTGTCCCATTCCTGTTGCAACGCAGCAGCAAGTTCTTGGACATTGGCAGGACGTTGTTGACGTTGACGTAACCTCTGTCCAAGCATGTCCCAGACATGCTCGATGGGGGAGAGGTCGGGACTCAGTGCTGGCTAAGGTAATGTGGTGATGTTCTGTTGTTGGAGGTAACCTGTAACGATCCTGGCCCTGTGACATCTTGCGTTGTCATCCTGGAAGATGAAACGGCGGCCATGACGTCGTGCGAACGGCACAACATGGACTGCCAAGATGTTGTCCCGGTAGTACTGGCCTGTAACACGCCCTGCAACAACATGTAAAGCCGTTCTTCCAGCAACAGTGATGCCTCCCCACACCATAACAGAACCACCCCCAAATCGATCATGTCTGATGACGTTAACGTCTTGGAAGCGCTCGTTTCGACGACGCCAAACCCTCCTACGTCTGTCCAAAAAATCAACAGTGAACCTTGACTCATCTGAAAACATCACATTGCTCCAGCGTCGATTATCCCAGTGTTGACGATCCCTACACCAACGACGTCTTGCCTGAATGTGATGATCTCTCAAACAAGGGATCACGCGAGGACGTCGGGCGCGAAGGTGACCCCTATGCAGTCGATTCCGAATCGTCTGGCCACTCACTCTCACACCAGTGTCTGTTTGAAGACGAGCGCTGATCTGATTTGCTGTGATGACACGATTTCTCAAGGCCAAGGTAAGGATAAATCGATCCTGGGCTTGAGTTGTCGCCCTTGGTCGACCTGAGCGTGGTCTGTCCTGTACAGATTGTGTATCACGGTATCTGGACCATAGCCTGC